TTAAAAATGTTTATCTCAGAAATGTTGGTGGATTACATAATCACCAAGTCCCTTTTGTCTGTGGTGTATAGGAACTCATCTGTAAATTGCACTTCCTTCTGTGTATGTATGTTTCTTTCCTAAAAAGTCCTTTCTCCAGTCTACATAAAATATTTTCCTTCACTTTTCTAGGCTACTTGAAATATCACCAGTTACATGTGTTTGTGTTATCAATCATTCTTTTTAAAAACTTCCTAATTTGCCCCACTCCCCAAAGAAGGTATAGAGACGGGTTTAAGGGACGGGGGTTGGGGGCAGCATGTGTGGGAGAGACAGAGAAGGAGAGTGGGAGGATTCTCAAAATAAATTTTTTAATGTTATGTTTAATGCATTCCTCACCAAGAAAAGTGCTATGTTATGGGTTAGACAGGTTTCTATGGACCTGCTGGAAAAACTAAATATGATTTACAACTTTGTTTTCCCGCAAAATTGCATTCAGCACTCCCAAAGCCAATTTACAAGCAAATGTTAGAACATAAATTATAGTTGGACACTACCAATATATAGATAGACTTAGAAGCTCAGTAAAGAGAAGTAATCAATATCCTGTGTTTGTTTCAACGTCCTACCTTGCTTTTCGCAAGAAGCCCTTTGCTTCTCCAAGCAGTGAGAAGATGAAGGGGGCGACAAAATAAACGTTTTTTTTTTATGGCACTTTTTATAGAATCTTATAAATCACAAAGGCACATCAAGAAGGCATCATCAAGAACTTCCCCAGGTTACTGAACGGTGGTTTTTATTCTTTTTTTTTTTTTTTTAATCCTTACTCGAGGACATTTTTCCACTTTTGTTCAGATAGAGAGGGAGAGACAGAGAGACAGAGAGAAACATCGACGTGAAAGAGACACATCGAGTGGCTGCCTCCTGCATGGCTCCAACCAGGGCCCAGACGAACGCAACCGAGGTACATGCCCTTGACCGGAATTGAACTCACGAGTCATTGGTTTACGGGCTGACGCTCTAACCACTGAGAAAAACCAGCCAGGGCAGTTTTTATTCTTAAAAATATTCTTTCAAAGAACAAATCAAATTATTTTATTCTCTCATAAAACATGTACGGAGTAGACTGACAGGTGCACAAACACATAATCCCGAACTCAAAAAACCCAAACACTTGTTTATAGTTTCTAAGAAAAAAACAAAATGGTTTGGATACACAAGAGAAGAGAATGGCACGTTCACTTGCAGTGGGACTCCACAGACTGGAGGTACTTCAGCCAGGAGCCTGAAATGGTATGGGAGCATGAGCATTCCAGTGACACTGTTATTTTAAAATAAAATAATTACTTTATTAAAAATAGAAATGATGCAAATTAGAGTCCTATTCTGAGATGTTGACCATGTGTCTTAAAAAGATTTGGGGTGGCTTTCTTTGACTTGTCCTTGCAGAATTCCCAAATGACAGATGTTTGTTTTCTAATGAGCATTTCTGAGGTATAATTTACATACAATAAATAAACCAATTTTAATTTTATGCATGGGTGAGTTTTAGAAAATGCATGTAGTCATATGACTACTACACCATTATGATAGAGGATGTTTTCATCACTGTAGAAGGTTCCCTTGACCCACTCTGTGATTTATTCTCACTTGTCTTCAGACTCTGGAGACCACCGATCTGCTTTTACTATTGTTTTCCTTTTCTATAATTTTGTACACGCGGAATATTATCATATGTAGCATCTTTTTTACTTAGCATAATGCTTTGAATATCATTGAATAGTTTGCCTTTTTTATTGGTCAGTAGTATTTCATGATGCAGACACACGCAGTTTGTCTATTCATTCACCTATTGATGGAAACTTCAGTTGTTACCAGTTTTTTTTATTTTTGCAATTATGAAATAAGCTACTGTACATGTTAGCAGACAAGTCTTTATGTGAACATAGATTTTCATTTGCCTTGAGACATAGCAAAAGGGTTAGTGAGTTGTATGTTAAATATATGTTTAACTTTATAATTAACTCCCAGGCTGTTTTACAAAATGACTGTCCCATTTTGCATACCCACTGGCAATGTATGAGAGTTCCAGGATGTAGCCATCCTCATTGACTTGGATTGTCGAGCTTGTTTATTTTTAGCCATATACTGAGTGTGTACTGGTAATACAATGTGGTTTTAATTTGTATTTCTCTGATGTTTAATAAAGTTGAGCATCTTCTCATGTAATTGCCATTTATATATCCTCTTTGGTGAATTATCTACTCAAAATTTTTGCCTAATATGTTAACCATATTATTTATCTTGTTGAGTTTTAAGAATTCTTAATATAGTCTGGATATACATTCCTGGTGAGATATGTTTTTTTCACGTATTTTCCAACCAGTTTGCTGTTGCATTTTCTTAGCCTTTTAAAATGATAAAATTTTAACTTTGCTCTTATTTGTGCTTATTGGGTTCTAAGAGATACTTGCCTAACTCAAGGCCACAAAAATTTTCTCCTGTTTTCTTATGGAAGTTTTATAGTTTTAGTTCTTATATTTATGTCAATGATCCACTTAGAATTAATTTTTGTATATGATGTGAAGTATGGGTTGATATTTATTTATTTTGCAGGTGGATATGAAATCGTTCTAGCATTATTGGTTGAAAAGAATAGTCTTTTACTATTGAATTTTCTTGATGATTTTGTCAAAAATCAATCAACCATGTAAGTGTGGTTCTGTTTCTGGTCTTTCTATTCTCTTCCATAGATCTAAATGTTTATTCTTACACTAACAACATGTTATCTTGCTTAGTGTAGCTTTATAATAAGCACTTAAAAGCAGATAGTTTAATATACAAATAGAACCATATATATGGAAATAGAGAATTTGCTAATTGTAGCATTTCAAACCTATGGAGGAAATATATTTACACCCACCCCAAAATCTCCCAATAGATTATTAGCTCAGGGCAACTGAATTCAACTTGACTCTGATTCATTTTGACCCAATGAACTGGCTACATTATTATCCTCAAAGTGGGAATAGTTTATTTTAATAAGAAAATTTGGTTGGTATTATACCTAGAATCCAAGATGTGTTTATTTACGTTCATGTAAGTATACGTTACTTAAAAAGAAGGTCCTGAATTGTGGGTTCTTTCCTCAGTGTTGTGAGGTATATGATTACAAACACAATACTCAGGAATAAAGCCTTTTGAATCTTAAAAAAAAAGATAGCAACTACAAACAGCAAACATTGGTAGTGGTAGTGAGAACAACCCATCATTATTATTCAAGAACACACAGGTTTCCATCATTAAAATAGTATTTAAAAAACCACAACTGTTTATAACCTTCATTTGTGGAAAAGCCTGGGGCATGAGAGGAATAAGTAATTTATATTTGTGCAATCTCATGTTCTTGTGTAATTACCAGTTGGGACTTAAGCCAGTGGTTCTGTGCTTTTTTCAACAGGTCTGGATTTGTATGCAATATGTCTAGGGAAGCTGCTGGTGTTGGTGACTGAATTTCACCTCCTTAGTGTTTGACCTAAGATGGCACCCAGATGCTTCATTATGTCTTTTTAGGGACTTGCTCTTAATAGAAACTGGGTGAGCTTCATCCCCAAGTGTAGGAACGAGAGAATGAAACAGATTTTAATTCCAGAAGATGGCAACACTAAAAAAGAATAATAATAATAATTTCATTTTCCCTACCCCATCAAATGGACATTACTAAACATTAATCACAGCTAAGTCAGCTACTAGGTCCTTTCATATATAGTTAGCAAATTTGAAGTTTCAGAAATTTTTGCCTTTTTTTTGTTACTTCCAAATCCCTTATTTTTTCTTTCTTTTAATTCCTTCTCTCTGCTATCCCTTCCTTTTTATCCCGAAATATGATATGTGTGGCGCTTGGAACTGTTTTTAATCACTACACTTACCGTCATCTTTCGTATCTCCATATTTTAGTCTCATGCTATTCTTATTGCCTAGAATATTTTCACTATCTCCTGTTTCCTGCATAACTTGCATATATTCTTCAAGGTTCAGCTCAGACACAATCAAATGAACCAACTTGTGTCAAGCTATATAACAAATGTATATAAACAAATGTATATAAATGTATATAAACATTTGTTCACGAATGAATGAAAACACGAAGGAGGCAAGTCTTTCCCGAAACTTCTCCTTCCTGTGTCTTCATCTCCATGGCTCAGGAACAGGAGTCATGTCTCTGTCTGTTAATATTTTATTAATACCAGTATGGGCTCCAGGGTCTGACTTTGCCTCTCTAAATAGTGATGTAAACTTGTTTTTTCTTATGGCTCAATTTCTTCCTCCCTGCAATAGAAATCATAGTACTCTCTCTTGCGTGAGATTATTGCGAAGATTTGATGAGGTAATACATAGAGTGCCCGAAACAGCACCTGAGCGCTCCAAAAAATAGTAGTTATTATTATGAACTGAGCCTATTTTTTTATATCACATTCACTGATTCCTCAACTCTACAATTTGATTGTCCCCTCAAGTATCTCTTAAAATTATAAACATTTCATGTTATCACAAGAAAGACTGCCCTAATGTGAGAGAATGTGAAAATTATGCTTTTTATTATATTCACACAAAATAGTTACACCAAGTTGTCCAAATGCATTTGGTGAATTAAAGCCTCCAACTCTTACAAATTTTTATACATATATTTATGCATAAATACACACATAGGTAAAAGATATATATTTTTTTCTAAAATAAAGTGCCTAAGTCTTGATATATGAGGGCAGAATAAGGAAAAAAAGAATCATAAAGTTTTATCAGTTGTAGACTGTGTATTTTCATAATATAAGAATCTGTTTTATATGAATTTATTCTGGTATAGTGAACTTTAATCACCCATCTTTTTTCCTGAATTTTCTTAAATGAATTAATTTATCCAAAATACAGGGTGAGGCAAAAGTAGGTTTACAGTTATGAGTACATAAAACATAATTGTTATGTTTTGTTATTTATTAATTATTGTATTATTTTCCACATGAATAACTGTAAACCTACTTTTGCCCATCTTGTATTAGAAGAAGTCATGTAACCAACTCAATGAATCAGAGGCTAATTTTTCTTACTATGTCCGGCACAGAACCTTGGCTCCCCAACCTAAGGGTAGTTTAGCTTCATGCTTAATTTTCCTGCTTTTTGGACTGTTGTCTTTCTGCTAAGGTGATAAGTGGAGAGAGAAATGAATCAGACATCTCTAATTCTAAACCCTCTGTTAGCATTCAATAGAGTCAGGGTTTGGTGAAAAGAGTCTTAGTGTCTTTACCTCACTGTGCGCTTGTGATAAAGGGACCAGCAGGTTCTGAATTAAGGGGTCCTGTTGCCTCTGTTATAATGAAATCTTGTTGGAGCTACAAAAAGAATTAGGGTGTGATGATCAATAGATCACTGAGAGAACCAACTCAAATTGAAATGGAACTCTCTATTACAAATGGAAAACCTGTTGAGCACATGTTTGAATCTAAGAACAAAATAAAGATGAAAGAAAAACTAGATAATTTAAGATAATTCAGAAAATCCTTGCTTCAAATAGGAACTAGGACTTGATTCCCTGCTCCGATATTGCAGCTACTCTTCCTGCATTTTCACTGTATTTTCTATTCTCATAGACTTCTAAGGTGATCATTTGTGGTCTTTGACAAGAAATGGAATATAAAAACGCCTCTGCAAAGAATTCAACCTACTGAAGCAAAGTGAAGATGCCTAAAAATAGCTTAATATGAATGCAGCCATTTCAGATTCTCTGGTGATTACATGTTCAAACTGCAATAACGTGTACCTTATTCAAGCAGGAAAGGGAGTAAGTCAGCGCTAAAGTTGCATAAAACATTCTATAACTTCTCAACATACAGGAGGCTGCAAACAAGGGGGAAGCCCAGACATTTCTCAGAGTCAGAACAAGGAATGGAGTCTTTTCTTTTATTTGGGGGCATAAAAAAGGGAAAAGGGCAAGAAAGTGTTTCCAATTACCCGACCCACCTCGGTAGGACCTGCGCAAGAATGAAGCTGCCTAACTACTGATTTTGGTTAGCATCTTGTTGATGGCTTGCTTGACGTGCGTGGTGGAGCTGCGACGCCTTGTCTTTCCCTGGACCATCCTCCGGCGACGCACCTCTCGACACAGCTCATAGAATATCTCCGTGATGTTCCCTTCTCCGGTGCAGGCAGAACACTCATAGAAAGCACATGCCAATTCCGTAGCCAACTTCTCCCCTTCTTCTGTACTGACCTGTCTGGAGTGGTCCAAGTCAGCTTTGTTTCCAACCAAGATGAGAGTCACATTCTTGGGCTTTTTGATCTCATCCAGAATGTTCTTAAGGGGCAGCATTTCCTCAAAACTTCCTCGGTCAGTAATGTCATAGACTAGCACAAAGCCTTCTCCCCATCGCATGTGTCCTTCCCTCTGAATGGTGTCTTCCTGCTGACCAGAAAAACACAGCGGTCAGGGCACCTGGAAGTAATCCCAATATATAGATGCTGCTCATCTTAATAGTGATTCCTTAATTACTATTTCTATTCAGTGTCATTAAACTTGCATGATATTTTGCCTGTACAGGCTTACCCTCTCAATCTGTAGGGAATAGAAATATTACTTACCCATAGCAAGGTATCTCAGGGAACTAAACATTTTGTATCTGCATAGACCTTAACTTTCTGCTTCTAATTTTTCCTGCCACATCATTAAACCTTTAGTCACGAGAACTATAAAGAAAGTATCTTAGTGGAGCACATTGCCTCTGAGACTTTCATCATAATTAAGAAATCAGCAAACAGGTAACAAAGTATACTTTACCTCACCCCTTAGAGATCAGAATTAGAGGCACAGCTTAGTGAAATGGCTTTTTTGATTTTTGTGTGTTTGTTTTCTGTTTGATCTCTTCATTCTTCAGATTATGGACAATAAACCACCAGGAGCAGAAAAACTGAGTAATTGTATAGAAAGTCACAGCCAGGGGCTTTTGGCTTTCTCCACCCTATCTCAATTCCCCCCAAATATTATGCAGTCCCAATAATGACAGAAACTCATTTGAAGTGATTTTCAAAAGCAGCGCCTGTGATTTGAAAATGTATTGTTGCTTTCATGAGCTCAAAGGACTTCAGCAGACATGTACCTCCCTGCTGCCTCTCTCTAGAATCAGTTCTGGGTAGAAGGTGAGAGCATACATCAGAAACAGGTGGTGATGTGAAATATACTCAAGAACATTTCTTGGATTAAATACTTTAATTCCAGTCTTTTTGGGGGTCACAGGTTACTGATTAGCACCATGGAATCCTTCAGTTTCCTACTTCTCATTTCCAGTGGTCATTCCTATCTTTGGGAACTAAACCTAACTATGAACCCATTTGTAATCTCAGAACTGACTGACCTCAAAGTGAATTCATGTTAGTTTCCTTTTAAAATAAATTGTTACTGTTCAATGATATGACTCACATTTTCAATAGGATATAGTGAGTCTAGAAAGAATATTCCAGGACAGGTTCCTAAAATAAAATATTCTGAAAAAGATTCTGAAATCACATAAATTTGGAATATAATGTTTACTAAATCCCTTAAAGAGTCACCTTACACAGAAGCATAATAAAGGCTCTGAGAACTTCTCTGGTAAAGATTCCTGTTTAACTTTATCAGAGCATTTCCAAACACTTAACCACAAAAATCTCCTAATATCTTTCAAGTTACCCCAAAATTTAGGTGGGCAATGTGAATGTTATGGTATTTTCAACACCCCCCCTTGAAGTACTGGGTAATTTGCATAAGGATGTACACACAGGTTGTTGTAAATATGGTGATACATAAATACTTAGACAACTAAAGAAAAAAGTCTTTACGCATCATGAGTTAACTGTAGGAAACTGTCTTTTGTTTATATTATGCACATCTTCTTTTTATTTGCTCCAGAAAATATTTTAGATGAACTCCTTATTCACCTGACCAGCAGTGTCTAGTATCTCCATGGTGACAACTTCATCATCGATGGTTGCTTGGTGTCGGTAGGTTGATTCTGAGGGAATGAACAAAAAAAGAAGATGAAAATGTAAATAAGATCATGGTTTGACTTGATCTTAAAATTACAGATTTGTCACAGGAGTATGTCTGTTTGGAGTACAAGGGTATGTGCACACTAGGAAGGAAAGAGTGGATGTACAAGGATGTGCCATCTTTACACTCTTACATCTCCTGGAAGCAACCAGTTACCGACTTGCAGGGGATAGCACGTGAGAGTCTCTTTGCCTCTTTGCTCATTTTATTCTCCTACAAGGCCAGCTCCCTGATGCTCTCTTCCTTCTGAAATGAGGCCTCCACATCCTAAAATGAGAGTTTTTCCTAAAAATGCATTCTGCCTTGATACTAAAAACCCAGTTTTGGGAAATCACTATTTATCACTGTTAATCTTGTCACTGACAAGATGACATATAAGCAGGAGCTGCTTATTTCTGTCCAGACCTCAACCCTAGAAATGCAATAGACATTAGGAGAAGGTGACAGTGATCTATGTGAAAAATGACCATGTGAAGTTCTGAGACATCCTTATGACAGTAGAAGGTGGTTGGGCCCTGGTGTTTGTGGGATTGGTGAGAAAAGTACAGGAGGTCTGGGCAGCATGGAGGGAGGTGGAGCAAAGCAGAATTCTCTTGCTCATCTTGCCTCTTCAGGGTAGAAAATGATGGCAGCTCAGCACTAGTTGGAGAGTGGCCCCCAAGCTCTACTGGGATGAGGTGTTAGCAGGTGCAAGAGCTTTGGGAGGTTCTCAATGTGCCCCTCACCACATGAAATAGAAACCAGAGGTTAAAATAAGTACCAAATGCTACTCCTGCTTTATACGTAAACTACAATGGTTGAAATAAAGAATGGTTGAAATAAACAAATGAGTAACTGAGTTGATGAAGGTAAGTTGAGGAAGTCTCCCACAAGATACCAGTAAATGATAAGAAGAAAAACATGAAAGTAAAATATAAGAGATATAGATAAAAGAAACAGACATATTATTATCTCTTATAAAACAAGTCTCAAAGAGAGAATTTAGTACCTAGAGGGGTGAAAACATTCAAGGTTGTAATAACAGAGAGTTTCCCAGAATGAGAGCTATTGAGAAACTTCAGAACAAAAGGACTAACGGGAAACGTGAAGAAAGAAGTCCGGTATCTCAACCCATTACAGCATAATATGAGATATCAAAGACAAAGAGGAAAATGTAAAAGGATCCAGAAGAAAAAAACACATCACCTACAAAAGGACATGACTCAGAATGACACTGGATTTCTCAACAGTGAATTCAAGTGAATTCAAGATCCCAATGGAGAGAAACAAAACAATAAAACGACATCAAAAGCAACCCAGAGTTACAATTCTAGATAATACCAATATATTAGGGAGGATGCAGGGGAAGAGACCAAAGGCAGGTGCCAATGTACTTGTCTTATTCTAGAAGATGAGATAATTAAAAGAAATAACAGAAAACAAGACAGGTAGGTATTCAATTTAACTAATTAGAAGGGGAAAGTTGGATAAATCCAAGAAGATATGCAGAAAGAAGTAAAAGAGAAAACAGCAGGAAAGAGTTAGATAAGGATAGCAAACCCAAAACATGGTGCTTGAAAAAAAAGTTAAAAAAAAAAAAAAAGAGGTCGGAGGAGAGGTAGAAACATGGCAATGCTACCTAGTAAATTAAGAGAGAAGGTGTAATCACACAGAATTTAGCACAAAAAGAGGAAATAACCACATATTTTGATGAAATAAAATAAAATAATATTATGAAGGGTATACCAACAAATTTCAAACCCTGATAAATTCTGGAAGACAAAAATGCATAGATTGGAGCAATAAAAAACAGAACATTTAACTAGATCATAGACAGTAACTACATTTAAATGCTAGTTGTAGATCTCTCCTAATCATAAAAAGCAATTACACACAACTGGCTTTATAGGACATTCCTAGTAAGCACTGAACACGTTGTTATAGAAAATAATAAAAGGATAGCCACCCAATTCCTGTCACAGGACATCATTCTGACTCTCATAAGAAGTATTACAAGAGAAATAAGAGACAAAAGAAAATTGTAGGCTCATTTCATTCTTGAACATAGATTTAAAAATTCTAAATAAAATATTATTCAGTTGAATCCAACAGATATAATGAGAAAAGGACATAGTCAAGTAGAGTTTATTTCAGGAATGCAGAGAGTGTTTCAAATCCATCAATGTGATTTAACACTTTATAGGACTAAAGGGAAAATAGTCACACGATTACCTTTCTAGGCAGATCTATAGAAGACAAAACATATATAAGTTTAAAATGTATACACACACAAAAAAAATACTTTCTTCAAAAACATGTCAACTAGCACGCACTGCTCACCATCTGAACAAGAATTATTCCAAATTCTTTACTTATATTAACTCATTTAATTCTCACAAGTATCTCATGAAGTGTATATTACCATTAACTCCATTTTACATGAGGAAACTGAGGCACAACAGCATTAAAACACTTGCTGAAGGTCACACAGTGGTAAGTGGTAGAGCTGAGATTGGAACCCAGGATGACTGGCTTTAGAAAACCAGGCTTTTAACCACTACGCTCAATTACAAACATACTGGATTATATTTCTATGAGAAAGAGTAGGGCAATGGTGTCAGAATAGGGGATGTGGGAAAAATAAAGTGAAACGAAGGTTTCACATATATGACATGGTGCCAGGAACAGAACAGCGTGATCAACTTAAGTATTAATGTAATTCATTTATTTGCATATAAACTACCCAAGTCACTCACCAATTAATAACCAACCATCAGCGTAGTTGGTAAGCCAACACTTTTAGTTTTTTCCCTATTTATTTCATGTTTCTGCTTTCATTTCTTCATCTCATCAACTATTTTACAGTTCTTTTTTGACCAGGGTTTTATGTTACTTTGCAGTAAATATAATGTACTCAAAATACGAACTACAGCAAGTAGGCGTAACTAAGTAGCATGGACTGCCAGCAGCCCTGTATAGTGACAATTGTCACAGGCATGGCACATTGCTGCCATATCTTCTGAAAATTAAAATTTAAAAATGAGATTACATTCAATATATGTTAATAAGTGTATCTTACATTGTTGTCATTCTCCTAGAATACATAATCCATACGTTGTATGTCCGATTCTCAGTTCTACAACATTCCACCCCCTACTCTTTTAAGTTAAATGGGAGAATATTGGTTTGCATGATTTAATGCTCTGAAATACCATTGATAGCAATGACTCATCTATAGGTGTTCTCTCATTTATTTCCTTTTTCATCCCTGAGTTCCAGCCTGGGGCGGAGAGGCCCAGAGGACGGCACACACAGAGAAATCCAGGCGTCTGGTTTCCCCCGCTGTCCTCTGTGACCTTGGTGCTGCCTTCCCTCTCCAAAGGACTGGCACCAGCTCTGGAGCCTGGAAAACAGACGTCTGGGCTCCATTCCATCTATGTGCACCAGAAGTCTGACAGACAGGGACATTTTTCTCTGCTGCTTCCATGATAAATAGGATATGTATTTCAACCACAGAAGACCGCAGTAGGGGGAAAGAGAGTATAATGAAAATTGCATGAAGTTGTGTGATTCTTTGGCTGTTTGTGAACTGAAATGAAAACGATGAAATGCAGGAAATGAGGGAATGTCTGCCACTGACTTAGCCTCGGGTGGCAGCAGTCATTTAACCTAAGCTGAGTGCTGGTTTCATGCCATGTTCAGCATTTTTCCTTTGAGTCTGTTCTCTGCTTCGTTAGGAACCCCTGACTACATGTAAAGCAGTGAATGTGTGGCTCAGAGGCGGAAGGTTGTACACCCACATGCTCGCTCTTCTAAAGATGATTCTAAAAATTGTATCAGGTGCTTTTTGAAACCAATCTCTACTCTTTATCTTAGATCATTAAATAAAATGTGTGTGCATTTGGAGGATAGAAACACATTTCATTTGTCTCAGACTAACAAAAAATGACATTTTGAGTCATTTTAATGAAGGGTAGGGGGATGATTGTTTTAGAGGTGTTTCTAAATGAACCAAAATGTTGTGTACTGTAAGACCTATGCTAGTTTTAATATGGAATCGGGCATATTAGATATGATGTCTGCATTGCACTGTACATGAGAGATACACAGTTTAAAGCCTAAATTCAATAAAATTCTTATAAATAAAAGTATATTTTATATACTCTAACAGAAATTGATGATCAAAAGAATGCTGTACATGGCTAATCCTTTCACTAGTTTAGTTTTGTTAATTTTGACATAATATGGACAATTGGCCAATACAGTAACAACAACAGTTAGTAACGTTGATTTATGCTAGAGTGGAAATTGTACTGACTTGAATTCTATTGCTGGTCTAACCACAAACTAGCCACATAATTGTGGGTACATTTACTTGGTTGGGCTCATTTTCTCATTTGTCAAATGCTGATCTCAAAGTTCCTTTCTGTGCCAATACTAAAGAACGATTAAATAGTTCTTTCAGTTGGTCAAGTACTTTTGCTTGGGTATTTGGCTGAGAGATTTGTTCTGGGTGTGTCCTTCTCTTTGTATGAGCCTTTCCAAGCAGAGGGAACTGGATGTAATGCAGGTAGGAAGAACCAATCACAAAATAAAATCAATATTGGGTACAGTATATCTTTAAATTCTTACCCTCATTCTGGTTTGAGTCTTTACTGACCAGATAGATACCATGATCCATTCAAGCACAGAGCAGGGTGCGTTATTGGGGCAGAAGTAGTGGTCAGTGCTGAAATGCAATCTCTCTCTCCGAGTGCCCCCAATACACACAAACACACGCACACACACAATCTAAGCTTTTGCCTGTATTCTCTGCCATGTTGGGCATTTTCAGACTATAATATGGCTCTGAGATTCAGTTCTCTTCTAGGTTCCAATCAGAACATGGATCCTATTGTTTTGCAACCAGAAGAACGCTGATGCCGCCATCAAGACGTTTTCCTGATTAGATGGTCTAAGTCCCAAATCTCATAGGCCATTGACCAGTTCTGGCCTCTGACAAAGATTTCATGGATTCACAGTGAAATGAGAAAAATTTAGGGAAAACTATCATTGTTCAATGTAAATAAATGATTGAACAGTTTTCTTAGATACTGCTATATTCTTCAACACTCCTGAATGCTAAAAATATTTCCTTTTGTGAAATGCAAGTGCCTATTGAGGGCACAAGTTCAGTTCTTCCTTACCCTCTGCCCCTTGCTTCCATCCCTAATTGTAATTCTTATGATATTCCCTCTCCATTAAAAACAAACAAACAAACAAACAAACACCAAAATAAAAGCAAAGACCAAACCACTGGATCCTGAAATCTAAAAGTTTGGGAATCACTTGTTACTACAGTAGCAAACATTTCCTTCACAGAATTATTTCAGAGCAATACATACTCTACTTTTTGTTAATATGTTGAATGGTGTTCACAGTCTTCAGCTTCTCGGGGGAGCAATAATTCTGTTACAGGTTGGAAAAACTGCCTCATATCTCTAAGAAGGCACTGAATTCAGAATTCAAGATTATCTTTTGAAGTCCATTTTGCCCTTTAAAATTTTATTTTTCAATTGCAGTTGACATTCAATATTATTTTATATTAGTTTCAGGTGTACAGCATAGTGGCTAGACAACTATATACTTAACGAAATGATCCCCCTGATAATTCAAGTATCCACCTTTGCTCTTTAATGTAGCCTTCCCTTTTGGTGGTGAATTTGCAACTCTGTGATGGTATGAAGTTTAGTCCAGGAAATGCCAACTGCTCTAGGATCAAGTGGATTGGGAACTCCTCTCGGCTAGAACATTCGTGACTTCTCACATGCACACACACACAATTCCACCTTTCAACATGAGTTAATGACACCTTCACCTGAGAGTGAGTCATATATTTGATATTCTAGAAATATGATCAACGATCTTGTTGCTTAGCAGCTCTAACCCTTTTTGAGCAGCACAGAACAAGGTCACTCAATAAAGTTACATTATTCTTAGCGAAGGAAGCCTGCATTACAGAGAAAGGATGCAGGCAGAATTCTATAAATAGCAGTTGTTTTCCAGAATGAATAAAACAAGAACAAAATAAACAAATGGTTCACCTATTTTTTAAAACAGTAGCATTAGTTACTGGAACATATTCAGAGAGAGTTCAAAATTTTTATGAGATCATTTTGTAAGCTTCATCTTTTGTTGAGATGTACTGATATAACTAAATAAAATTAGTATTTTTCTACTGAACTACCATAAATCACTAAGAGTCTCAGGAACTTTGTAAAGCTTATACAAGTAATAAAAGTATAAGAAGAAAATATTTACTTAAGTGGAACAAACACTAGATAATGAATGATTTTTAAAAATCAAATATATTTTTAGATCCAAATACATCATTTTAAGATTAGATTGTGGCTATATTAAAAACATATTTAAATTATTGATGTTGAAAAGCAATTTACATAAAAACAGAGAAGTAAAGATCTCCTAGATTAAAAAATTGAGTATCAAGAAGATGTGAATCTTCCCCAAGAAATTTATAGTTTTAATGTGCTCTCACTCAATATGATGTCATGGTATGATAGAATTTTAAAAGCTGACCTGGAATAATAAACCGGAGAGAGTAGCCATGATAATTTTGTGAAAGAGTAAAGAAGGAAGACTTTCTCTACTGGGCACCATGTCCTAAAGAGCACACGATGATCGACTGTGGTACTGGTGTAGGATGTGAAAAGCAAATCTAGAGCTGCCTCCAAATGTAAATGGTCCAACACACCTGTATCTGCAGGTTCTGCATCCATGGAGTCCACCAACTTGGATCAAAAACATTTGGAAAAAAGTTATGTGTTGCTAACATGTATTATGTAGTTAGTACATAGTACTATGATGGTGCATCTGTACTGAACATGTACAGGTTTTTTTCTTGTCATTATTCCCTAAATAATACAGTGTAACAACTATTTCTATTGTATTAGTATTATAATACTAAAAATACTAGAGATAAAGTATATGGGAGGTTGTGTGTAGGTTATATGCAAATATTATGTCATTTTACATAATAGAACCAACCTCTCACGACATCAAGGACGACTGACTGTGTAAAAGGCAGCGTTGGAAGTAGAGGGGAAAGGTGGGGACTATTTCATAAATAATGGGATAATAATTGGTAAACTATTTGGAAAAAACGTCAGGCCTTCACCTTGTACTTCTCACTACAATATGTTCCAGATAGTTAAAATGTTAAAATTAAATAAACAATAAAATCACTCTATCCCCTTCCCTGTTCAATTTTCCTTCATAGCACTTATTATTATTGACATACATTTATTCGTGTACTGACTCTTCTCTCTTTACTAGAAATAAGCTCAGAAAAAGCCAAGACTTCCTCTTCCTGCCTATTAGTTTACCCTCAGCACCTAGACTAATCTGACAGAGGAGGCATTTAACAAACATTTGTCGGATGAATGGGTAAAGCAATGAAAGAGGCCCAAGGGGAGAAACAGTTGCCTTTTAAACTGAACATATGTGAGAACAGCAACAACAAAAACCAGCCCCAAAACAAAAGCACCCAGGAATCAATCATCTCTGCCCATTTCACCATCTGACTAAGGCCAGCTTGGCCTGGGACAGGTGCCCGGCAGTGAAATAATGTATGTTTTCCCCTCTTCCTCTGGATTTCAAAACTGTTGCCCTTTAGGAGACCAACTGGGGTCCTGAGGCATAACAAACAAAAGCTCAAAGGCTTCATTCAGAGTAAAGTCTGAAGCTTAACTTAGAGCCCTTGGGTTTTTAGCATGATTTTGAAGATAACTAAATATATTTCTAATAAAGACTCTGTTTTGAACTATGAGAATTACATGTGATAAACACTTCATGCATCAACATTATTACTATTTTCAAGATACATATATCAATTTTTGCTTCTTTTATATTTTTAAAATAGGCTTAAAGCAGATTCATTGGAGATAAGAGAGAAAGGAACACAATTTATTTATACATTTTTCCAAACAGTATTAACAAGTCTTGTTTTTCTGTTATACTCTTCTCAGCATACCATTCAATCCCTCGTCAAGCCAGCCACACCCACTGTATCCTCGGTCTACCGCTGGGATGATGCTACATTTCTTAATGGAAGAGCATCATTGGTACCTACTTCCTTCTTGTCTCTGGACCTGAATTCTTCATCTATGCATTAAAACCATGCAGATTTCTAACCACGAACGGCATGTAACACAGGTCTAATTTCTTAGAGCAACTCTTTGCATGATTAAACAAAGCACTTTCAAAATATCTCCAAGGTACTTAAATATGTCACAACAGATGCCATTCTCCCTTTTGGGTCATAAATTTTGACTGGAGAGTAGAAGAAAATAAAATTGACTTACCAAGGGTGGGGTCATATTCCCAGATGAACCGTTTGGTCAGAAATCTCACTACAAGAGCTGTGGGGGGAAAAAAAGAGCAACATTTCAAACAAATCTATTAATTTTCTTATAGTTTTTATCCTTGTAAGGAAAGAGATATAGCCTATAAAACTATATTTGTTTTATATTTCCTTGGAATATAAACCCAATACATTTATTTATGTTTATTCAGATTACTTATCTAGTTCATACTGGGTGTATTATGCATTAATCAACAGCTTAGATTTGTGTTTTTAAGTCACAAGGTTAGAAACATTTAAAAAATCACAATGTGAAAATGCTTACGTGTAAAACTTTTAGCCAAACAATGAATTCAGACATGAAGTATCACAATACAGGTGTCTAAGGTTTGAATATTGATAATGATTAATAAAGGAGAGTTACAAATGACATATAATTTTTCCTGTAGTGATAAGACCACTTGCTGATTATTTATATTATAAAAAATATTCCAAATTAGGGATTTTATTAGTGGCTCATAAATGCTCAACAAAAGCAGTGTTGCTGAAATCCTGCAAGTCAGGGTCAGGATGCGGAACTGTGCTAAGCACTTCATTTGCACAATCTCCTCAACCCTCACTTCATCCCTAGGAGGCAGGTACTAAGACTGTTCCCATTTTTCAGATAAGAATACCAAGGCTCTGAGAGGCTAATTTAATTGAGCTCACCTAGCCAGTTAGTGGCTGAGTCAGGATTTTCATTCAAGAAGTTCGTTTCCAAAGTCTGTAATTTATCCACTGTGCTAAACTGAATTTCAGGCCTAGGCCATCTGATAATATTTCACTAGAAGATGGGTTGGAGAAAGAGAAGTACTGGGATATGTGGACTCTATTGTCCTTACAAGTTGATGGGAAAGATGCTAAACATTTTTAAAGCTGAAAATAGTGTTTTTCAATATTTTGAAGACATTTTTTGGAGGGGAGTATCATAAACACTTTAAAAATACAATGAAAGCCCTGACCAGTTTGGCTCAGCGGTTAGAGCGTTGGCCTGCAGTCTGGAGAGACCCGGGTTCAGTTCCCGCTAAGGGCATGTGCCTCGGTTGCAGTTTGTCCCCGGTCCTGGTTGGATCATGTGGGTGGCAGCCACTTGATGTGTCCCTTTCACGTCGATATTTCTCTCTCTCTCTCTCCCTCCCACTCTACCTGAACAAAATATCAAAAAATGTCCTCGGGTGTGAGGACTAAAAAAAAAAAACAAAAAACAAAAACAGTGAAAGCTTAGGACCCATGCATTGGAAAAATAGATATACACACAGTTTGGTACATAATTTCAGCAGCTCACAAGCCGTCTGAAGACCCTGGATGGTCTTCCTGGGATCCCACTGACACTAACTAAAGAATCAATGTCTGTTATATTTTATACTTGAAAATATATTTATTATTTCGGTATTTTTATTTTTATGGAAACACCCTGTATGAAGCAGTCTAAAGTTATTCCTTAAAGAAATAAGACTAATTAGTTAAAAGTTAGTCAATCTTTCCTTTATCTATTGCCTGTGTTAGAATGAACAGAGGCGTATACCCACTACTACAGTGTCTTACATGAGAGCACATTTGGAAGGAGAACCTCATAAATTGACTACAAGCACACAGGGCTTGGCTGGAGACGAAAAGTAGCAATTTGTTTCTAATTACAGAGTGTAAGGCTGGATTTGAGCCAAAATTTTTGCAGTGCCTAAAGGAGGAGGCCACTGACCCTACAATACTTCCCACAGGGACGGCACTGTGGTTTTATCCTCAGTTTTCAGTCTGTCACGCTTCACTCTCTTGAGAGGAACTGAGTCTTTTTATTCACATGTAAGAAGTAGTAAGCACCAGACAGATATTTTTGTTTTTATTTTTTTTCTAACTATGGAAGAAGAGTTTATTCATGTTTTTTTTTTTTTAAAGGATGATGTTGAATATCACTTAGATATGTCATTTAGAGTCTATTGGCTACACTTAAAAGAGTAAAATAAATATTCTTATTTTAAAATGTCAATATTTATGCAACAGAATTATTACACTCTTTGTACTTATTTAAATTCATAAAAAAAAAAATAGTTAGATATAAAGTAAAAATATGCAAAAAGGCAGGTAGTTTTCCAAAATGTTTTTAGGGACATGAAAGAAAAAAACACTAAAGACTGATTAACTAGTCTTATTACTGTTCTTTTTTCAAAAAATTGAATTTATTGCTTTGTAAAACCATAAGGTTTCAAGTGTACAAGTCAATAAAACATCATCCGCACACTGCATCATGGGCCCATCGCCCCAAGCAAAGCCTCTTTCCACCCCCGTTTTCCTCCCCTTTGCCCACCTCCACTTACCTCCCACCCCTTTTCCCCTCGGCTGGCATCACACTGTTGTCTGTCTCTGTGTTATGCATATATATACTATGTAGCTCAGTGGTAGAGCTCTTGCTTCGCATGTATCAGGTCCCCAAGTTCATTTCCCAGCATCTCCATGAGGGTCATTTTTTGTGTTTTTAAATCAACCACGTCAGTAAACATAACTGCCGTCGGTAGTCAAAGAGTTTCATCTTTTGTTGGACTATGTAGTTTTAACTGGAAGGGTTACAACCTATAAAAATGCATTTATCTGGCATCTTAAAGCAATGCACTATTAAAATTAAAAGTTTGTACAAAGCTAACATTGGAAAGTACCCTAGTTGCAAGACCATCACATCTTTCATCATTTCTCAAAGAAATGTTTCTAAAATGTTTAGACACTCCATCGCCTTTCACAATGGAGAATACTACACATAATTGAATCATTTAAAAATGTCTGCATCTCAGTTAAGAGATTTGATTAGTTCCCTGTGCAGTCATATGGTTAGAAGCTGTAGAGTGGTTGAGGCAGAACAAACTGGGGCTTTGAATATTTTTAGTTTTGACTCTATATATTCATGTATATTTAATATACACATAAATACAAGTTTTTTCCTCCCTCAAATGCCATGGATTTCTCTCTCTCTCTCTCTCTCTCTCTCTCTCTCTCTTTGCCATGGTCACTGAGACTATCTTTAATAACCTATCTATCCATCTACTTTGTTACATTTATTATTCCAAAGACTCAGAAGCCATATTAATAAGCTTGTGAGAATTTTGTCTAATATTGGAGTAAATTAGCTCTGGGGTTTTGTTCTAAGAAATTTGTTCTGTTGATATGAACATGATTCTGGTATACCTTTGAGATATGACATTTGTTGTTGATAAATGGTTCTTGCTGACTTCTGGGTTAATGGCTCAGTTTAGACCGCCCCCTTCCAGCAGGGCAGTGATGCTGGGCTTAACCAACAAAATCAATATAAACATTTTTTATGTTCTTCTAAAAGAGATTCAGATCATTATTTGATGGTTGCATTAATGATAGAATCATACATTTGTTTACAAATTCCATCTATTTCAAGTGCATTGAAAAACATAAAAGCCACTTTGAAAAAATTGACATTCAACAATGTGTCTTTGTCTCTCTCTCATACACAGATTATTCATGGAAAAGACAAATGTGTTTTCTACATTTAATTTTTCAATAACATTTGAATTTAAATCATTAGTGTAAAGAATGAAAATAATTTTACATTTGTGGACGTGCTATCAGTTAAAGGCTCTACTGTTATTGAAATCATGACTGAGGTGTGCAGGTGACATTTCACAATTTACTGATGTAATTATAAGACTTCATCAGTTATTATTCAGCCCCCAATCTTCTTCTAATTTTATTATGGCATACAATTTTCACATGTGATACATCTTACACTTCTCACCCCCTCCACGGCTACCACCCTCATCTCATGGTCTTACCTGTTAACACTATTACCATGGATCCCTCAGTGGTGTCCCTGCTTCACCTGCACCCCAGAATCCCCTTAAACTTCTCTCCACACAGCAGCCAATGGCTTTGTGAAAATGTAAACCATCTCATGTCACATCTTTGCCCCAATTCTCCCTGAGCTCATCTCACTGGATAAATATTTTATTATATTTCTTTTATACAATTCATGAATAACCTGATCAACATATTCATTTATATTCCCATATGTCTTACAAATTGTGAATGATCTGAGGTTGGGGATTGAGCCTTGTTCGTCTTGACCTCCAATTGCTGGTGTACTTTCTAATTTTTGATACGTGCTCAATAAATATTTGAGGAATGAATGAGTAAAAATTAAAATTTGCACAAATCATTTTGTACTCACATTACTCTTGTACCTAGGTCTGTACTGTAGTGTGTTCTTATTATTTGAAAAAACATGTGTTTAATTTTTTATTAGTAAGTTCTTTTTTGAGAGAGAGAGAGGGAGAGAGAGAGAGAGAGATTTGCTGTTCCACTTATTTATGCATTGAGTACGTACTCTGCTCTCTTTTAGGTGTTTGGACTAATCCAGCAATCAGATTAAGATTCCTGATTTCACAGAGTTCATATTCTACTAGGAGGATACAAAAATAAAAATGATGAATTACATAGTAAATTTGAGGTGAGCACCTGCTATGGGGTAAAAGTATAGAGTAGGGTACAGGGGATTCAGAACTAGGGGGATGAAGACCTGAGTTGTATTTCAGACAGGGTGCCAGGGTAATCCTCACTGACAAGGTGATATACAAAAGATCTGAGGAAAGACATCTGGGGAAGTAGTGATCCAGGAAGAGGGCTCAGTCAGTGCAAAGGCCCTAAGGGAGGAATGTGTGCTTGGTATGCTCAAGGATCATTAAGTGGGCCAGTGTGGCTAAGGCAGAATGAGCAGCAGCCAGGGTAGTAAGCAAAAAGGTCATTTTCTGCCACTCCCCCTGTCAAGCATTCTCTAAATACGCTGCTACTTCTACCCCCACCAATGATAATAACAATAATAAGAAGAATAAGAACAACTGGAATGCTTATTTATTATTGTTATTTTACTTGATTCCTTCCTTAGAATGTATATTCCACGAGGGCATGAGATTTGTTTTCATTATCACTGTTTTCTAGTGTCTAGAAGAGTGTCTGGCACACAGGAGACTAAAAAAATACCTGCTAAGTAGATGAAAAAGTATATCA